ATGTTTGGTATATATATATATATATATAATTTAATATATTTCATCTTTATAAGCTCTGCATTCAATTGATTACTTTCCATATTTATTGAAATTCATCATCGCTACTCAATAACATAGTTTTTTCATTATAATTTTGTGAGATAGTTGCAACTCGTTGATGAGAAGTATTACGTCTTTGTGGTGGTGGTACCGGCATATTTTGTGGATCATCAGGATCAAAGCTGGATACTCGCATACCACGTTGCCCCTTCGGTCCTCCTATTTGTTATATTATGTTACATATTATTACAGACATAATTATGCCTGTTTGAGTTAATGATATATTGATTAACTAATAATACATATTTTGTAAAATGTTTTTATATAAATTTCAAATTATTAATTACAATTATAATGAATATCAAACAATTTGTTCGAATACTTAAATTATTTTATATATAGCTATATTTAATTAATTTAGAAATTTTAACAGAGAAAAAATTTGCAGAAATACAATAATAACATATTCATTTGCCAGAAACATCATGCAGATTGTTGCAAAAAATTGATAATTTCAAGCTGTTACATTTATGACAAGTAAAAATAGAAAAATAGTACATTCAAATAAACTAGACGAAATTGTATGTTTGCATGCTGAATAAACTTGCACCCATATTTTCATGCCACATCTTTTATATCATCTACATCTTATTATTCTGATTTTGAATTTTATTTTTATGTTATCGAAAAAAAATTACATCAGCTATTATATATATTTTTTATTTATTTTAAAGCAACATATATATAAGTACACCAGTTTTCTAAGTGCTTTTGTGTTAAGTGCTTAAGTACTATTTTACAGAAGAGATTGTTAATCATGAAATCAATGAATCATGCCTATCTATGTATGTTGACAACGTTTTGTCACAACTAATATTTTAAGCAAAGAGAGCTGACCTTTAACTCTGTAAATAGATTTTTGTTTAAATCATTAAATAAACATATATTATCAATATAGAAAAAATGTTTTGTTATATTATATATAATATTTAATCTTCATTTAAACTTGCATAAAGCCCAATGTCCAATTTCTTGTAATTAAAAAAATGATGGCTCACTGTGTCATAGTTTTTCATACGGCAAGTTGGTATTAACGTCTGAAAAATAGCAAATAAAGTGCCATCAACAAAGCTGAATCTAAAAAATTAGCGCAAATCAAAAAGAAGCTGAAACTAGTGTTTTTATTTTATTAGCAAAATGGCATAGCATACTTTATTCCCATATTTTCCAATGAATGTTAGTTAAATATTTTATTTACATACAATATCGTTCGATATGTTTGAATGATTTCAAAAATTATTCGATGTTTAAAATATTTTTTAATTTTATAGAAAAGCTGGAATTAAATTAATGTGATGACTGCATTATTTAAGCAATATAATATTGATAATAATTTATTCCATTGGGCACGTCTTTAATTCCAACATTCACATATATCTTTTTTTCATATACATATATATGCGTATAAAATTATGCAAAATTAAAAACATAGATAAATTATGGATCATGATTTCAGATTAATCACTACATCATGCTATAAATAATCAAGGCAGTTCATATTGATAATGTTGCTTAATTAGTTGGAAATATTTTTTGAATAACACATAGTGCAATCATCTTTAGTAATAAAATATGACATACCAGAGCTGTACTGCGTATACTGTTGATACTGTGGATGAAAGTTGTGGATGGCATCAGTCATTATATCTTTTGGATTCATAGTTTCCTAAACAATTTATTAAATATATTGTTATGATAATAATCATTTTAAAAATCTATATATAATATAGTAATGTTACATACTTTCAAACTGCTACTAATACTTTGCATTGTCACACTTCTTCCTCTAGAGTCAGTTACACAACCAGCTGAATATACTTGATATGGAAATGCATAGCGCAATGCAATTGCAGCAAACAACATTTCAATGCAAATTAGAAAATTCTGATAACCAGCAGAAACTGTACCAGCGCTCGTTGACTGACCTAAGCTGTTTATTACTGGTGAAATTACATTTGCTTTTTCAAGAATGGCCAATAACACTCCTAAAAATATGAAATAACAAATAAAAATTAAAATAGTATTAATTATAATCAAATATTAACAAACAAAAAAAAAAAGAAATAAGAAATTACCTTGCCAAAATGACAGAAAAATGACACTTTTTACAGTACAAAATTTTAAAACTGGTTCAAACGGAGTTAGCAGTTCTCTTGTGGCAAAGTAAAAGAGAAAAAGTCCGTAAAGAGCAAGAGATACACTAAAATTATAAATCACTGTTATATAAATATAGCCACCATCTGGAGACCAATCTCCATCTCTATAATGGCCAAATGCTTGAAGAAATATAATGACAAAAGCCATTACAGGCTTGACCAAGCAGAATTGTAAAGTTGCTTGTTTACAAAATCTCAAGAAACCAATAGTATAAGTCTTTCCAACTAGGCAGCATGTTCCATACAAACAATTGGAACGTATTGGTTTACCCCTTATTTCGGACATAATGTTCCCTTCACCACCCAGGTACTCGTAGCATAAGGACAGAAAGTTATATATAACAAATGCTTCATAACAGTCTCGTACGGTAAAGAAATAAACATAATAGCTTTCGCTATTGAAGAATAATAGGGACACCCAAGAATACGTTGCATAAATTGGTACGATGAAGAGTATTCTGACTATCCATCGTTGTTCCGTGGGATTGGTATACCATCTTAAATGTTGATAAATCTAGGAAGATCAAAATATTTATATAAGATCTTTATATAAATCGAGTTATTTTTTCAAAGTATAAAACATACCTGTTGGCAAGTTAAAAAAAGAGCTAGCCAGACGAAAACACCGGCTATGCCTTGAGCAGCTCGAGTCTGCAAAAAAATAGGTGTCGCTTCCCTGGTTGCTTCAAAGGTATTATCGACAATGTTATTAGAGTCATTGGTCATCATATTGTCAATCACCGAGACCGCGATCGTTGATGCCTCCGTTCCGAACGTACTACTCATAGTATGATCTAGGGACGATCGATTTCATACATGTATGTCACATTTCAAGCACATATTGTTTTCGAAGAGTTTAAATGATCATCAATCGTTTAACGATTTAGCGAGAGTATATATTGGCTACGTAATAGAGAAAGAAAAAAGAGAAAGGAAAGTAATGAGAAAATGCCTCGTATATTCGCATAAGCGAGAAAGTTAAAAGGATATATCTTTCTCTCTGTGTGTGACGGAGTCGAGCGTTAAAAATCAATATTTAGAACAATACTAGATAATGATACTTCGTTTCAGCGCGCATTTTTATTTCAAGAACACACCCGTGCTCCATTTGTATATATACATAGATCGTCCTTCCAAGATCGTAGAATACAACGAAGCACGCACGCACGCACAAACCCGGATCTGAATTATGCCTGTCCGTTTTTCGTTCGCACTTGCTTCTCTCCCTCTCTCTCTCTCCCTCTCTCCCTCTCTCTGTCCACCCTTTTAAAAAGCAACCGATGCGTGCTGACCCGTCTCAGCGAGATCAAGTTTCTCAAGATTCTCTACTTCGAATTATCTTTCTCGGATCACCACATATACGAACGCGACGCGATTACTCCTATAATATTGCCTTCGGTGACCTTCCAAGAAACACGCTCGGTCCGTCTCTCTCTTTCCCTCTCTCTCTTTCTTTCTCTCACGCGCACGACAAATAAATATGCGAAAATCTTTTTTTTCCCATTTTCGATTCTCCTTATTCTCTTTCCTAGGATTTTTACCTTTCGACGATAATATCACCGAGTTTCATAGCAACGCGACATATTCAACACCTGTCTTCTTTTCCTTTCGCTTCTCACTTATTCGCGCTCATTCAGGCTAACGCTTACAGTTTACACTAGGGAATTACTTTTATCGATATATATGACAGCAATAAAAATACAACTGAATACAATTCTCTGCTCGCGGACGAGATTATGCGCATGTACTCTTTCGTCTCTGCCTTTCTCTCTCTCTCTGTTTTTATAATGATCATCTATCTGTTTCTCTTTCGCGCGATATCTAAATCTCTTTTATTCTCTCTCTCTCTCTCTCACTCTCTCTTACTTGTCAGCGTATACGCATGCGCTTGCGCATAATTGTATAAACCTTTTCCTGACCGCTTTTAATCGCGACCAATCACAGAGCAAAACGCATGCGCGTTATATGACATATCATTTTATTTGGCTTAACGCGATGAATCGCCCATGATTAGAAAATTATTTACATTATTATCGTTCGATTCCTATCTTTGTTTTATACAAAAGTATTTTGTCATATTATGATATTAAGAAAATAGAAAGAAATTTTGTGAAAAAAAGGTTGTCATAGATTAAAGGATTTGAAATTGAGTTGATATAAAGACAGATCATTATTAAGGTACAACGGTAACGTGCGTAAATAATGTGAAAGGATAACACATTTTATATAGATTGTATATTTTACTACGTGTACCACCTTGTGTGGGGGATATGACTTATGGACGAATCAAGGCTATTTGTTATGATGATATCAGCCAACGTGTCTTTCCTCTCGTCAGGTGTTCACTAGATCATTTGATCATCTTGAACATTGAATTATTAGCTATGATGAAGATATCGATGTAAATTTATATATCATAACAATTTTAGCTTATTTGAATTAAATAGAAATCTTTAAGGATGGCACTCGTTTACATAGAAGACAATGACCCTTGGTACATATGTTTATTAATTACAATGCTTCATTTATATTTATCTTTATTTTTTGTTCCTTAATGAAGAACTTCTATAGCTTGTAATTTTTGCATTTTGGAATAAAGTTTATTTTATTTTCTATATTAGGCTTGCAGAGTATGAAGCTTGTGAAAAGTTGTTCCGTGACATTATGGAGCAACTTACTGCACGTGAAAGAGAATCAGAAACATCTCAAGCATACGCAAGTTTGTCCGCAAATATACGTCTACGTATGAAACAGTATAATAGAGAGATTTATCAACTTAAAACTAAAGTCGAAGAAGCTTCTAAATCTAGAACTATGTATCCTTTTAATTTGTCATTATGTTACACATAATGTACGTTTGTTGTTACATATTTTGGCTTCATCTTTTTGAAAAGACTAGTTCCCATTTGATCATTCAAGTTAAACGACGATGAGCATGGTTATTACTTGGGTGGGTAATCGCTTAGAAACATAATGTGCTGTTGACTCCAGGGAGATATCAGGAGTGTGGGAAGGTGTATCAAGGTTTCTCAAACCTGTAAAAGGGAGAGTGTAATAAGAACAATTCACAATTATATTCCTTAAGATACCAAAATTTATAGAACTATAGAAGAAGCAGAACGCAGAACAAGACAGATCGAACAGTTACAAAGTAAAGATATCCAATTACAAAAGTTCTATGAATCCAGAACAAAATCTCTATTGTCAAATCGAAAGAGTTTATTAAAATCTGGAACATCCGCATTTGCTGATATGGGAACAACATCGTGGGCCATAGATGATGACGATGATAAACCCATAGATGTAAATATGTCAACTCAAGATCTTCAAAATTATCAAGAACAAGTCTTGCAAGGTATTGATTTATTTAATAAATTAATTGCTTTTATTACAATACTTTGTTTTCAACAAATATGTAAATGATGTAATATTAATTACATTTTTTGTTATCAGAACAAGACAAAGGATTAGAAGAATTATGCAAAGTAATAGCACGTCAAAAAGAAATAGGACAAACTATTAGCAATGAAGTGGTTCACCAAAATGGTATTAAAAATAAAGAAGCATTTACGTTAAATAATCCAATAATATTATTGATATCTATATTAATCTATTTTTTTGTTTATTTATATAGAAATAATTGATGACTTGGCTGATCATATGGATATGACTGATCAAACTTTAATTAACAGAACACGTCAAGTAGAAAGCATAAGTTATAAAGATCGTACTTGTGGTTACTGGATAATTATTATCTTACTTTTTATTAGTATTGTAGTAGTAGCTTTATTGGAAGTTTAATGGAAATTATACTTCGTAAAGAGCTGGTGTAAATACATGTATAATGCGCGTGTGTATATATATATATATATATTTAATAGTGTTGCCATACACACACACACACACACATATATATATATAAACTTATTACTTCTTGCTCTATGCTATTATTACACGTAGGATACTTTTAATTTATTAATGCAAATGTAGAACATTCTACTTTTAGCATTTAATATGTATTAAGTATTATGTGTTCCATTATATATTCTAATTAAATTTAAATTGTTTTTTCCATTGAATTTGAAATTAATTTCTTTTATCTTACAAATCGTTTGTATTTTAATATGTATTGGTGAACTTCAATTTATTATTCTATCTATTAAGTTTATGTATATATTTTTTAAGTTGTATTTGTTCTTGTATTATAAGACATGCCCAATTATCTACCTTAATTTTATTTTTGAGGAATTATGTATAATGATATTTATGTACAATATAATTGGTATGTGGAAAATCTTAAAATTTATTTACGATACTTTTTTATTACTCAGTTTTATATAATTCCAGATTTTTTAGAAGTGCTTTTGGATTTGGATCCCTTCCTCTGAATCTTCTAAAAATTTCACTAATTGGACAAGTGCTATTTAAAGATAAAAATGTTTCCTGAAATCTTTTGCAAACTTCTTCGTAACTAATTTTGTCTTCAAGAGGTATTTCTTGAAATGCTCTATATATATCTGCTGCAATCATTTGTGACCAAAGGCGACTGTAGAAAAGAAAATATACATATAATATATCACATATAAACATTTTAAATGGAAAATTAAAGTAAAAGATTATTAACTTACCAATAATAATTTGTGCTTAAACGTACAGAAAACATGGGTTTAAAAGAATAAATATATGGATCATTTGCTTCCATCGGTATTATGAAGTGTTCTTTCCATAGACGTTCCATTATATCTCTCCAAGAATCATCGCTAAATATTTAGTTAAATTCAATATTCGGTATTTTTATTTTTAATAAACATATATATGTATATAATATAAATTTTACCTTGAATATACCTCCAAGTCAAATCGTGAGAAAAGAAGTTCTGTACATAAATTATATCCTGCTAATTGTAATCTTGAATTTTTTACGACTTCAACTGCTTCTGCTGGTAAACTATCTTTTGTTTCATGATGTTCGGAAATCATTTGTAAAGTCGATGGTTCATATAACCTATTGTAAAATAATTTAAATATTAGAAAATACGCATTCGTACATAGACATAATACAAACATACCAATTCTCAAGAAAGAAATCATAAATGTAGGCTGTATCCCATTCTAAGTAAGATAGTCCAGAAATATCTGCGTAATCGGTTGTAGCTGTCATATGATGTAATGCATGACCAAACTAAATGTTAAACATAAATATAACGTAGAACGTGCTTGTTTTACTTAAACAACAATTATTTTTATCTTATTATAAAATAATTAATTTTACCTTTTGAAATAGTATTCGCACGTTTTCAAGTGAAAGTAACGAAGGTTTTCCATTCATTGGACGTTGAAAATTAAATATTAAGGAACACATTGGTTTTGTGTCCAAACATTTACTTCTATTTTTTATTATTATTACCCATCCAGAGTTTTGATCTCTATGAGGTTTTTCGTCACCTCTTACATAGGGATCTAAATAAAAACTTGCTATCGGTTCTTTACTTGATATATTTGTATTAAATATATCGTAGAAAGAAACGTCTTTATGCCAAATATCTACTTTTTTATTTTCCACAATTTCTAGACCAAAATTTATTTTAAGTAAATCAAATAATCCACTTAATACCTTTGGTAATGGAAAGTAATCTTTCAACGACTCTTTTTTAAATCTGTAAGATTTTTTTTTATAATAATTTTATAATATTATAATTTACTATTTATTATAATTTATAAATTTGTATATATATCAAATATTTTGTTATATTACTCATAAAGACTGTCTTGAAATTGTCTATTCCAATATAAGATATCCCATGGCTTGAGAGAATCGGTGAATCCTTTTTCATTCGCAAATTTATTCAATTTTTCTATCTCAAGTATCTGAGCATTACGAGCTAGTAAAATATATTAGTTATTATAACTTGATAGAAAAAAAAAATGTAATTAACAAATGAAAAACTATCATCTTACCACTGTCTAATAAGATGTCAAATGTATTATTTAATTCCTCCAAACTATTAGTTATTTTTGCTATATTCATATGAGTATACGATTCATATTTGAATAAAGATGCTTGTTGCTTACGCATAGAATACATTTCCTTTAATATACTACTTGTTTGCAACATTTTTTCATCCGAAGGAGATAATAATGTAGCATTTGTTAGCCACATTTTCCAACGTAAAGATCGACTAGAACAACATTCTAAACAAATGATTTAAATTTTAAATGTTGACTTAAAAGTGATAAAAGAAAATTTATATTGTTTATTTACCTAAGAATAATTTAAGAACGTGTGGTTTCACAGTGATAGTCCAAGGACCTACATGAGGTTCTGCAGGATTTGCTGCTGTAGCTTCTAATAATTCATTGGAAAAGTCTTTGACGTTATTTTCATCTTTTATGACATGAGCATATTTTTTAGTTGCACTCTAAAAAATAATAATTTTAATATCACTTTTATTTTTCTTTATTAAAAGATATTGACCTCATATTTTTTAGTAAACTCCATTTCTTGTTGATATAGAAGTTGATAACTAGTTGTAAGCCATTCCTGTTTCTTTTTAGAAAGTTCTAATCCATTAAATCTTCCTTCAATTATATATTTATTTAATATTCTTTCTTGCTGACTTGTTAATTGAATATTGTTATTTTCTTTAGTACGTTTACAAGCTTCATAAATTGGTAAGCTACTAAATTTATTCTCTATTGCTTTCATAGTACGTATATTGATATCGGTGAAAGATTTTGTTGGTATCAAAGTTTGATTTCCATAATACAATGTTTGTGCTATACCATATGTTATTCCTAAAGGAACGTATGTTTCTTCTAAGGGTAATAAAATATCGTTGAATACGTTAACATCTTTGTTATCTGCAAAAAAAGTTGGATATTTTATAACGCATTAATATTCGTATTCTGTTTCTTGGAATAAGTAGATTTAACATTTAACTTTATTGTTATTTATAGTCGTAGAAATAAGTATAAACCATTTGCATACTAACCTTGTAGTTCTGTTTCTATTTTCTGGATTCTATTGTCACATTCTGCAACTTGTTTCCGAATTGCCACTATACATTTTTCAATAGTAATATTATTGAATTCTGGCGTTTTATTTTCTTTCAGTAAATTTTGCTGTAGACATTCTTCGCCTATTTCTGGAAGACTATAATCGAATGATCACAGAAGAGTTAAATCTTTCTTAAAGATAATTTTGTAAATAAAAATTTTAATAATTTTCTACCTTTTTATGTGAAATTTATAAATAAAATTATCTTTAACCTCTCATATAAATGATTCTCAATTTAATTTGACTTACAGTACTATGTATCCATTACGTTTTGGTATTTTAAGAACATTACTTCTTGATAAAATAAATCTCTTGACACAAAATGACAAAACCATTTCGCGCGATATTTATTGTTAATTATTTAAATCTTAATAATGCATTATTATTTAAATGCCTTGGTCTGCTCGTGGCTTTTACAAGAAAAAAGTAATTTATTTCCAACATGGGATGTGCTCGATTGGTAACAGTAGTTTAATGATTCGGACCAACCAAATTTCTAGATTGTTTTATTGTTAGACCAATCAAAATAACTAATTTGGATATTAAAGTATATGCAAAAAACAAGTATAAATTCCATTAGTTTTCATTGATTTTGCTAATGAAACGAAAGCACAATTAATTAGCAAATAAATGATAACAACATTTTAAAAAGAAGTTTCTAATTGTGAATTAAAATACGTGAATAAAATTATCAGAAGTTTGTTAAATAATTTGAAATACTTTTCATATTCATTTTTTCATATTTCATTGCATCAAGATATTATTTGTGCTAATCATATTTCAATAATATAATTATTATTCTAAAAACTTGCCATTATTTTTATTAACATTTTATCGGGCTAAAAATGTAATTTCATCAATTAAAAATATTTATTTACAATTTGTATCTCTACAATTGTTATATATTTTATATCATGGATACGTGATCAAAGAATTTTGTATAGTAAGGAATTTTCAGTTCTCATTGTATTTTGTTACTTAGAGGTTTTATCTTCCCCTTCGCAATGAATCACTGTGAAGGTTAAAGTGTTTACAAAGTGACATTATATTAAAGTTTGAGCAAAATTTTATTCGTTAACAAAAATTATATATAATACATATATATAATGTCTTCTTCTGATTTAAAGAATTGGCCAATTTTTAGCTTATTAGAAGCCAAGTTTACTGCTAATATTCGGATGGTCGTAGTATATGGTAATTGGAAATTTATTTATTTGACAGCTTTTCGACAGCTTTTCGACAACTCCGTTGTTTTGATTAGTTTAGATTAAATTAGTTTTATTAATTTAATTTTAAAGATTTAATTTTTTTTTTTTTTATTAATTTAGATATTAAAAAAAGAAAATAGATAAATAAATAAAATTTATTTTGTAGGTAATTTAGGAAATGAAGCTTTAATTGTAACAAAAGATAATATGGTGTTTGGTTTGGGATGCAACATTACTGGTTGTCTTGGAACAGGCGATGCACATAGTACTCTTCATCCTAAAAAAGTAGAAGCTCTTTGTAACAAGGGTATTAAAACTATTGCTTATGGCAGTGGTCCTCATGTATTGGCGCTTACAAACAAAGGAGAGGTACTTATATTTTTTTAATAATTATGCTTCTAAATAATATCATTTTTTATGGTCGTTCAATAATAAGCAAATAATTTATTTTCATTATTTTCTGTAATATTTTTAAGGTATATTCTTGGGGACATAATAATTTCTGTGAATTGGGTAATGGATCATCGAATCATGGATTGGCTCCGAATCATGTAGGAATGCCTTTGAGTGAAAAAGTTGTGATAGACGTTGCGTGTGGAAGTCATCATTCTCTTGCTCTAACGGATAAAGGAGAGGTAACAGAGAAACAAAAGTATATCTCGTAATCGAATAATCATCTTAGAAAGAGGAAGTATGCATAATGATATATAATATTACATAAAATAAGTTAAAAATTTATTGTAGCAAAGAATCAATTGATCGTTCACATGTGTGCAGGTTTATGCATGGGGACAAAACAACTGTGGACAAGTAGGTAGTGGACTCAGTTCTAATCAGGGTGTACCACGTAGAATAAATTCTGCTTTAACTGGTAAAAAAGTTATCTCCATTACATGTGGACAGACTTATAGTATGGCAGTTACAAATAATGGTGAAATTTATGGATGGGGTCATAACGGAGTTGGACAATTGGGAAATGGAAGTTATGCTAATCAATTGAATCCATGTAGAGTGGCAGGTTTAGTAGGAATAATTATAGGTAAATATATTATATTAGTATTATATTTTGCAATATCAAAGATTCTCATTAATAATATATCTTCTAATACAGAAGTTTCTCTTAATGATTTTAGAAAAAGTCGTCTGCGGTTATGCACATACGCTAGCGTTAAGTGACGAAGGTGTTCTTTACGTTTGGGGGAGTAATAGTTATGGTCAATTGGGTCTTGGTAATAAAACAAATACTTGTGTTCCCATGAAGGTAAAATTATGGATGATTTATTCTAAAGTAAATGTAATATTATCTAAGAAGATATTGTTTGTAACTAATTTTTTATATAATAGTTATTTGTAAAAGAAATGGGAAGAGTATCTGATGTAGCAGCATTACATTATAATCATATAAGCGTTGCAATTGGAGAAGGAAATAGAGTTTTTATGTGGGGTCAATGCCGTGGACAGAGCATTACAATACCGACACCTACTCCATTAGCAAGTTTGCATGATGCACTGGCTTGTTATGCATCACCAAGCGTAATGCATCGTCCATTATATCTTTATGCAGCAGAAGAAATAAGTATCGTAGATTGTATGAGAGAGGCATTTAATGATTCTGTATATTTCTTATTTTTATATTAAAATATATACATATTATTGGATTCCTAATTGATTAATATTAATACTATTGTAGACAACAAGCGACTTGACGATACAAGTAGATGGTAAATCTATTTATGTTCATAAGGCTGTATTAAAAATACGATGTCAATATTTTAGAACTATGTTTCAAGAGGCTTGGGCAGAAAATAGTCAAAGGTAGATTTTAATAACGAGTTATGAATTTGTTGTTGTTATATATATATATATATATATATATATGAATTCTCATTTAATTGAATTACCATGTATTATTTTTGCAGTGTTATCCAACATGATCAATTTTCTCATGACGTTTATAAGTCATTTTTGAAATATTTGTATACAGATGAAGTCGATCTTCCTCCTGAAAGTGCATTAGGTAAAAATACTTCACATGATCATTTTAAATATTCTAATGTATTATTTCACTTTATTGCATATTTTGTAATTGATTTTTGTTTCTAGAATTGTTAGACTTAGCAAATGTATATTGTGAAATGCAATTGAAAAGACGATGCGTTCAAATAATTAAACAAGGAATCACTGTTTTAAATGTGGCTTTTTTATATAGTACAGCGATCGAGTACAATGCTCAAGTAAGTCCAAGTAGATTTATTTTACGTTTGATTACGTTATTTACTTACTAATCATGACCGAAATGCTTTCTTTATTTTATCTTCAGGAGTTGGAAGAGTTTTGTTTTAAATTTGCATTAAATCATATGACTGCGGTAATACAAACACCAAATTTTGCTAAATTAGACGATATAACAGTGAAAGCATTTATAATTAAAGCTGCTAAATCAGGAGCTTTTAAAACATAAATTTTGTGATATAAAGGATCTTGTCATTACAATTGTATAAGTTATAGTGTATTAACATATTAACATAAGACAATAACCAATGCAAAATAGTCTTCTTTAGATGAAAGAAAGAAATCGTCAGACCAAACGATTATTCTGAATAATTGTTACGCGCGATCAGTTTTTTAATTTTATTACTTAAAATTAATTAAGATAAATGCGTGATGTGATTAATAACAGTCGAGAATAATTAATGTTATATTATTTCCGAGAATTTCTCATATTGTTTTTGCATAAGAGATAAGGAAGTTCTTATATTTCATATATATTCAAATATTTTTCATTTTTTAACATTTGTCTATTCTTCTGTTTTTTCTTTCAATTCTTCCAATTGTTTTATGTTAGCTTCGCTATGTATTTCATTAATGGGGCTTAAGATATTTGATTCTTTATTAGTTACATAAAGTATAAAATTTGCTAAATATCTTGTCACTTTACATACTTTCTTAGAGCCACCACTAGTAATATCGCTTATACAAACATTTTTTTTATAAATATTCTGTTACATATTTGTTTTATTGATACATGTAAATTAATAATGCTTATAGCATCAGTATCTCCTCTATTCTACAACCTATTTAATTGTTGCTCGAAAGTTGTCTTGTTAATCGCATCAACATCAATCTTAAGCCATGTTAAAAATGTTACGATTAAATTCATAACAAATTTCTCTATAGGATTTTTTTTAAGATTACGTATCCTTGATAGAAAATTAATGTCACGCAACAAATTCTGAAGTTTTTTTAAATCAGAATTTATAATTGTTTCGATCGATGAATTACAAATAATATTTTAACTTATTATAAAACATATATAACATAAATCTAACATAAATATAAGAACTGTAATTAAAATTGACTGTTATCTATCATTCTTAAAAAATAATATATAAAAATACGTAGTATAAGTTTGATTCCAAACTTTTTGGACACCCTGTCTATAAATGACTGTCATGTACATGTATTTTTATATAATATTATTCCTTTAGAGAATGATTGATAACGGTCAATTTTAATCACTGATTTATTCGGTATCTAGCACTCAAAAAATACGATAAAGAGTGTTAAATAAATATGCCTTTGGGATTTTAATTCTTTCAGCTCTCATCTTTGAAAGTATATAGTAGTTATGTCAAAAAAGTAAAAAGTAAAAATGAAACGAAATAAGAAAAAATAATCATACTGTTAGACTTAAGATCGTCATTAAAACATAATTTTATTTGTTTCTCGATTTATGAACATTTATTTCAGAGTTTGTTACAAAAAGAAATAATACTAATTAAATATTTTAAATAATCAGTTAATAAGTCAGGAAAAATTTAAGTTTGATTACACGAAGTAACATCGTTTCATACCTACATATAAAATAATTCCAATTATGTAAAATTTATTGAATGCGAATTATTTTCATATTATAAAAATAGGTGAAATAACAATTTCATTTGCTCAGATGTTTTATAGGAGACCAAGAAATCATATTAATTTGATCATTCCGATTGCAATGCATTTATAATAGATTTATACGAAAAGCACGATTAAATAAGTAACAATTATGTACAGAATGATGCAAATTATTATACAAACCAATAATATGATTTATCCATTTGTTTACTGATTACGCATACTGAATTTTCTTATTTTATATCTTTGTTTTTGTATATTATAAGAATAAATATTTTTAACGAAACAGTGTTATTTGTTATGGTAAATAAATTTTTAAAAATGTTTAACGAAGGAAATTTTTAAATAGGTACCGTCCGAGGACTTATGGAATTTGATGCGTTTTTCGTACAGTATTTTTATTACGATAATTCTCAATATATACAAGCAATCAATTTTGTTCATAGAATACGTACATATCTACTAATTTTATTAATAATAATAATCATAATAATTATAATAATAGTAATCATAATAATAACGATAATGATAATGATTATTATTATGATTATGATAATGATAATGATAATGATTATGATAA